TTGTAAACTTTCTTTAAATTGTGATCAAATTTACTTTCGTCCCGAAACGATCGAGAAAAGGTGGAAGGTAGTCTAGCGGAGCAGACTACTGCCGCACGGTGTCCCTTTCTGTGCTAAGAAGAAAGGTAATCATATATATAATGGAGTTAGTAATTTTTATCAAATTTTCAATCACGTATTTCATCAACTTTTATCAAAATTTAAAAAAAAAAAAAAATTAGCTAATAACGAGCGATGATCATCAATACATTACACGACTTTTTCATACAATGTTCTTGGTGCTTAAATAAATAATTAGCAAGAAGGAAAATTAGATATGCCAAGTACCTACATTTCAATAAAGAAATGTATACCAATCATGTGTTAACACGCATCAGTATAATTAAATTTATCTTTGTAGTGGGTCTTATCATAAAGTCAATACAACAAGTTAATATGACGCACCTGTAGTACGCACACTTGCATGCGTAGCAATGGATATTATCTAAATTTAAATTATTTTTTTAGCATGACCAATATAATACTGAAAAACAACGTACATTTAAATTGAAAAACAGTAAGAAAAGGTCTAATTTGGTGAGCAACTCTTGCTTTTATTTCTAGTATTCAACTCTTGCTGTTACTATTGAGGATGTGGGCTTTGATAAGTTCTATAGTCTTTAATAACAATCTAGTTTTCTATTGTTCATGTTTAAATAATGTATACATTAATTTCCTACTGTTAGATACCTTCAAACTCTAAGAATGGCACTTTATCAACTTCAATGTGCGCAGAGACGATCCTGAGGGTGCGCGAGTTGAACGACCGCACAGGGCCTCATCATTGTAGGGGCACCAAGAGAAATTTTGTTATTTTTGTGTGTGTGTTTGTGTGTAATTATATATTTAAAATATTTATTGATTTTAAAATTTTAATTATTATGTTAAGTTAAATGACACAATGTTCATGAAAAATGAGTTAAAAGATAGACAAATAATGATTTTTATTTAACATTATTGTATTTCTTATTCCTAATTATATATCATACCAAGTCATTTTTATTAAAGGAAAGGAAAAAATTCAAATGGTTTAGGGCCTTAGGCTCCTTTATAGCTAATTTTAGTGTATTGTGCTTAACTATTTTCATTTATGAATTATTTCTTTATTAATTGTATGTATTTGACTTGGTATGATATGCAATTGCATGAAATACTAAAGTTAAGAATAATATAGTTAACTAGTTATAATTTTCGTAAATAGTATCTTACTTTAAATAATGTCAAGGAAAAGGAAAAAGAGGAAAAAGTATAATTCGTAGGAAGATACATTTTGATGAAAATGTCACTCTAGAGGTCGCACAATCACTTGAGAATTCTTCATAACCAATTATTTCATTTACTAGAGGGATGAACGTGCGTTGCACTTTAGTTAGTTGGTTTTTAAAAATGAGAATATATGAATTTTCAAGAAATTTATATGTAAATGTGAAAGATATTCATAAACACATCAACAAAAGAGAAGAAATTATTGAAGCAAGAAGTAAAAGAAATTAATGAATAAACAATTGGTTACCACGGAAACAATATATTAAATTTACAACATGAGCTCTTATTTAAAAAGTGGTGAAAATGTTGAATTCTTTTGTTTTAAATCAAATATTATATAATTTGTTTGAGTTCATAGTTTTAAAATGTCAATAGCTAAAAAATGAAGAAAAAAGATTTAGGAGCTTGGATGGTTATTTGTTGATGACATGAATTTTGATGAAGTTTGGAAGGTACTTTTGAACTTTATTTGTACTTTTCTTATTCACGACATTTAAAAAAATAAATAGTATTTAAATATCATAATTTTGCGATGATATAATATTATTGAAATATATATATTTTTTTAAATATCATGAAAGTGGCACCATTTTAAAATGTCGCACAAGGCATCCAAAATTTATGGGCCAGCCTTGAATGTGCGTGGTCGAAATTTTTGTTTAGTTCAACAAATAAGTTTAGTTAGGCACATGTGAGGGACATTCGATAAAATTGGAACAATTTCCTGCACAAGGATGACACGCACAAATGGAAAAATGGTTAATTAGCAAAACATGATTTCAACAAAATAAAATTACATTTCATAGGGGCATACTACAAAAATTGAGAAAACGGCAAAGCAGCTTGCTTGTTTGGGTTTCATTATAATGAACTTATGAAGTCAAAATCACATATTAATTTTAACTATACATTAGTAACTATTTCTCATTCATAGACTCGTTATTTATTTTCATCACAATCTCATTATAAGTTTTCCTAGCAAGCATTTCATGTTGATGTTCCCAAAATCGGACTTCTTGAAACTGAATAGCTTCTGAATTTCGGATAAAAGTCAGTCTTCACAATGATATGTTCTCCGAATTCACAGGGCTCGTCTTCAGCAATCCTTCCAATGGTAACAATCTGACTCCGGCCCACTACACATGGCTCCGACTGGTGTCTCCTGAGAGAGTCATCCCCTTTGATATTGCCGGCGAGGCGGAGGCTCCTAATATTCGTGGCATAGAGTACTTCATCATTGTTTAAGAATGATGAGTTGGTACTGAAGCTTTTTGGTGAATTTGAGAATTGTAGTGATGCAGGCCACCCCACTGATGAATGAACTTCTCCGGCGCAACCTGAAAGGCTTTGGACGTACAAATCCCTCGTTTTCGACAGAACCCTTATCAGGGCTTTAATCAACCGTCTCACTTTGCTGTCTTTCCGACTCCTGATGTTGCTGTTCTTCCTCTGCATATCTCCACTTCTGCTTAGCTCATATAAACATAAATCGATTTATTGTACCTAAATAGATCATATACATGATATATATAATGTTGGTTTTTTTATTTACATATATTAATCGAAAATGATGGGCAGAAAGTAGGGTGACCATGAAATGCAATGTTCAATGAGCAACGTACGTCTGGACTTTGTCAAAAATGGTAATATAACCAAGTTTGATAGTTTGGTAAGTGCCAGATTGTCATTTGACAATTAAAAAAAAAAACAAACAAATAAACAAAGGTTTTTCCTCCAACATTTTTTTAAAAAACAAAGGCAATATCAAGCCTGAAGTACACTTTGAAGTGCAGAAATAGCATTTCCCAATATAATAGGAGAGATTTTTTTTTTTTTTTTTGATAACCATGGATATTCGGGCCAACTTGAGCGCACCTCGACTAATCTCATGGGGCCCTGAAGTTTACGGTCGGATACTCACCTCAGTGGCCTGAGGAGACTCGAACTGATAACCATTGAGTAACAAACTCAATGTCTGACCAATTGAGCAACCCCTCAAGGTTTAATAAGAGAGATTCAACATAACAAGAAGACTCTGTGGTGCCAAATGTTCAATTTCTAAGCGTAGACCAACAAATAAAGTGAACTAATGTTGATTTCGAACCAATTTTTTTCCTTATCATTTCTTTTATGAATTGTTCTGGTATGAGAAGGGCGGGCGAGACTTGAGTTATTGCAATGACGATGTAACGATTGTTTTTTCTTAATTTATTTGGTTATTTGCTCATGTATAGTTAAGCTAATGAAAAGATTTATTATAACGCAGGTTAATTTTTTATTAGAAGTATAAATAAAAGTACATGATGAGAACTACATAATTCAATTTAAATTTCTTGCTATCATTCACATTCTAATTGTCACTGTTTTAATGTTACTTGAATAAATACAATTATCCACGGGTTTAAGAACTTTTTTGGAACCTATTACAAGAGAGAAAGAGAAATAATATATTAATTGTACATGACCTAAGTTATATATTCATTCAAATACTCAATTGACCTTCATTTTCCTACTTTCTTTTTATTGAAATTATGAATGCCCAATTAAAAATTTCTTAAAACATAAAATGGATTAATTGATTCATTTATATCGCATACTAAAGGTGAATATCATGTATTTTTATTCGTTGCACCATATTTTAATTGTATTTTAAAAAAATATTTTTGTTTATTATTGCACTTATGTTCTCAACTTTTTTTATCACGTTTATATCCTCAACATTTCATTAAGTAGCTGATTTACGTCTCTGATAACAATTTTCGTCCAAAAAATTCATTGAGATGACTTAAAACCACTTATTTGCACATCATATTTTGGATGAAAAATAAATAAAAAGTGTGACAAAATACTTTTTCCTCATTTAAAGCACAATAAGAGAATATTTTAATATAAATAATCATCAACGGCGAGACGTATTAATTAATAAAAAGTTAAAATAATAATTTGATGGAAGAAATTTATGAACCATAAATACAGCATTGAGCAAAGATTGAGAATTTTAAGTGCAATTAAAAATTTCGGTGCGACAATTGAAAACATTGGTGCCAAGCATCTTCAAACTAAACACAATATGTTCTCTATTCTAGAGAGTCAATACTTAAAAATAAGTTCCAAGAGACCCTACTAACTTTTTGAAGTGGGGAGTGAACCAAAGCCATTGTCTTTTTCTTACTTTATAAGATGTATTTAATGAGCTACATATTTCAATACTCCATTTTTTTTTTTTTATTCAAATCATATTTGAATTAAATGATCATTGACATATAAAAAAATATGATAAATAAAAAGAGAAGGAAAAATTAATAAATGTTTCTTTAAAAAATAATAATAATGAGCCAAAATAGAGAGAATTGTTATAGTGAGCACTCTCTCAATTTAAAGATATTCTAGACTATACTTAAAATACTCTTTATAAATAAAAAGTCTCTAAGAGATGTTCTAATTACCCTATCCTAAATTGTGAGAATAATGATATTTCCCTCTATGTAGCAACGAAGACATCATCACATTGCCACATGAAAAACAAAAATCATCTCAACTTTATTAGACGATATGATAATCATCATAATATCACATAAATCAATGAAGATAATCATCATAATATCACATAAATCAACGAAGAATATCAAATAGCATTACTTTTCTATAATGAGTGGGAAATATACAATTATTTAAACTTGGGCCAACCTCATTGATCAAAATGAAAGTGCTCCAACCTTTGATCATCGATCATTATTCGATTACCACTTCCACTTTTATTCGGAAAAATCATTTACCAAAATTGTAAGTGCTCCACCTCGTGTCAATTACCCTACCTCAAATGAGATAAATAATTGTTTATTGTCTATGGTCATTTTCATGGTGCACAAACGGCCGCAAATCTATGTGCCAGCTTGGCGTGGCTTTTAAAAAGCCAAAACGAGATTTTGAGATTTAAAAGTTGCTTTTAAATTCGTTTGACTAATTTTATAAAATTATTTTTTACGGTTAAGAGAGATTTTAGAAGAAACTGGTTCAGGGCCTGTTTATTTCACATTATTTTAGACTGAAAATGAATAATTTGAACTTTTTTTAACAAGCTGGGACCCACCATGACACATGATGGTCAAAAAATGGGGCTCATCCACTATACAACGGTAAGAAATTTTCTACAAATGGGAAACAAACAGTTCCTCGATGTAACTTCGTTTAAAAGTACTTTCGAAATATGAAACTCTTTTAAAAATTAGTTTTTAAACAAAAATTAAGATAATTTTTTCCAAAAACTAAAATCGTGTCAAACAGATCCTATACCTGCCCATCTACCCTCCCCAACTATTCATCTTGGAGAATAAATTTTGGTACACCGCAAAATCTACGATAGGCCACGTACACCATCGATAACACTACATGTCGAAATTCCACGTGTATTGCAAGTCCAAATAAAAAACAGGTGGCTTGAATTCTACCAAATAAAAAGAATCGATGGCTTGCAAGTACAAACAGTGAAGGCCATTAACGGATATTGCTCCACCATTAATTTACACCCTACTTTTTTTAGTTGTACAAATACCAATGTGCGATGGCCTAATCTCACTTTCTTTTATATATTTTATTGTTTAAAGGGTTAAGATTGGTGGTTGTTTAAAGGAATATCGTGAAATCATTTTTCCTTTTTTTCCCCTTTTTTTAAAAGTTGGATTACTTACGGATTTCTTGGAAAATAGAAGTGCTGTAAGAAAAAGGAGAAATAATTGCTTCTTGATTAATGTAAAAAATAATCTTTTATCAGATGTAAATATTAATATTATTACTTCAAAAAATGTAAAATGTAACATCCATTGTAATTAATCACTAAAATAAATAAAAGGTAAGAGCTGAAATCAACATAATCTTGAATACCAAAGATTGAATCTGATTCATATTTCTGTTGTTATATGTATCCTCCCTGTTATAACCAAAACACAACGGAAGCAGTAACTTAAGAACACGAAAAACATAACCAGTTCATCAACATTAATGGATTGATTATCATATTTATGATTCAGAACAATACACCGTACCCTCATGTACAAATGAAACAGCCATAAAGACTCGAACCCTAAAGATCAAATAATCGCAGCTACTACAATAGAACCCAAGATCAGACAACTGATATTAACACAAAACCCTCAATCGAATAATCACATAGACTCAAATCACAAAGATTTAACAACCAAAATTAGAAGTTTTGATCAACACAAAGTAATCGAAAGAATGAATGGAAGAGACGACACAGAGAAAACTCCAAAAGCTTATCGCACCAAGAATAGAATGAAAAGCCATTCAAGGGAAACTATTGAAGCCCCTTAAATACACAAATCTATCACCGTAGATCTCAGCAAATGATCAACGGCCTAGAGCAGCACACGTGTCCATCAAATAGGTCGGATTTTGGGCTTATTTCAAATAAGTTATCAGGCAATGACCAGAACAAATCGAGCAATGGGTTAGGCCCAATTTCATCACAGCCTAGTGAACTGAATGCAATTAATATAATCGGCATCACAACCCATCAAATCTCCCCCTTGATGCCAATGATATAAACAAACCACAAACACTATAGTTTCTCCATCATAAGCACCAAGAGAACAGTCCTCCAAAAACACAAAGTTACCCAATATCAATTTTTAAAATTTGCAAACAAGATTTAAATTTGTTGAGAGGAAGTATATTTGTTCCCACGTCAGCATGATTAAATTGTGTTGGGATTTTTTCAAGCAATGTAGACTCTTTTTGAATTATATTTCTAATGAAATGTATCCTAACATCTATGTGTTTAATCATTTCATGAAAAATCGGGTTTTTATACAAATAAATGACACTTTGACTATCAGAATAAACAATAACATGATTATGCAATTCATTCAATTCACAAAACAAACCTTTAAGCCATAAAGACTCTTTAATAGCTTTAGTAGCAACCATATATTCAGTTTTAGTAGTAGATAAGGCCATAATAGACTGCAATTGAAACTTTCAATTTATGCAAATATTACATAAAGTAAACATATACACAGTTATGGATATCCTATTATCCTTATTACTAGCATAATCAGGTTCTACATATCCTCTTAACACAACTCCCTCTTTACTAAATTTAAAATGCAAACTTAAGTCAGCAGATACTTTTAAGTATCTTAAAAATCATTTTAAAGCAGTCCAATGTTCAGGACCTGGATTTTCCATAAATCTACTCAAAATGCTAATAGTATGTACAATAGCAGGTCTAGTACACACCATAGTATACATAACAGATCCAACAGCATTAGTATAAGGTACATTTTGCATGTATTTAATATCAGATTCATCATGGGGACATTGATCCTTACTCAATTTAAAATGACAAGTAAGAGGCAAAGTAACAGACTTGGAATCATGCATAGAAAACTTGAATAACACATTTTTCATATAGTCGGATTTTGTTAAAGGAAGAA